GCTCGCGCCTCCTGGTGGGGCGAACGCACGTGGTGACTTGCAGCGAGCTTCTCACCTACCACCATAGATGACGCGTCGTACGCCCGTGATACTCGCGCCATCTCGTAATCGAACTGCGAACACTGTCGGTAAAAAATTCAATGGAGTTTCGGGGAAGAACCGGAGTACCGTGGAAATTGGCGGGAAATCTGAGAGACAGCTTTTAACCTCTTAAATTCATGGCGAAAAGAAAATTAACTGCACTATTTTGTACTTTTACGCATTAGGATAGTGACAATAATTTGATATGAACAGAGAAATATGTGGATGGAGCTCAAGCTCGTATCAGCAACGAGGGGTAATATTACTCATATACCAGGGGACAATTGATGATTGGTCGATGAATTCTATTATCTTAAAAAAAATGTAGATAATGAAGATGGCTTGGTAGCTTGACAGCTTGGCAGTCTTCATTTTTACACATTTCCTTCCTCCACACCATAGACTTTTCGACTGTCAGTAACTATTAATCCCATAAGTTTAATTATCCTGTTTAAAGATTGAAATTTTTATTCTACAAAAATGACATTCAGTATTGAGCTTAAAACAAACCACGGCGCATGTGTATTACTTCGCCAATCATAAGCTGTCCACCATACTTCCTCCTCGTCCAATAAACTGGCTTGTATCCCTCATCTAAGATGAGACTTTGTGTTCCTTCTTTCTAACTTTTGCATTCACGAGAGCAACCATTTTGATTATTTATACGCGAAGTGTATCTAATTAAACTATCCACTAAAATTCAAAAGATTAATTTTATATTGACCAATTGCACAACTGTCTCAAATTAACCTAACTCATCCTACCAATGTCTAAGTCCCTATTATCTTCCGAAACTCAGAATAATAAGATCATTGCCACAAACGTAAACTCTGGTCTATATCAAATGTAGAGACTAACCGTACGTTCTAGCGTGAACAGTACTTTAAACCAGTCTAATTGAAGGTAGTCGCAGTGTCCTAAATCTAGCGGCAACTTCTATGAACTAAAGTTGAGTTCATCGTAACGAACAATTTTATGTAATTCTTAATTTACGAGAAATCTTTGGCGAACATCGACAGTTACATAGATAATATCAGTTATATCAGATAATATCAAAGTTCGAATGGAAATAATGAATGGTGAAATGCTAAACGCGGTATCATGACGAAGTCGTTTTATGTTTCAGTTTTCTAATTCATACAGCAAAGAAGAATAAACTTCGGAATACATTAAACGCGAAATCTGTTGCATAAAACATAAACGGCGATTAGATCAAGAGATGCATAAATAGCGGTCGAGTAACAAATGTCAAAAGTAATTAAGCCTTCAACAAACTGTCAGACACGCAATTGTTCCGCATTTCTTCGAGTTTATAATAGTAGCCACTAAACAAGTGCATTAAGTGTGCGAGTGAATGATTCACTGTTACATCGAACGCTGCATTTATTTTCGGTTTAAAGACGTAGGTACTATTACTGTTTATTCATTCACTAGGCAAAGGATAATAATTAGAAAGGTAATACAAGTACACGCCTTAGTGTTTGATATCGTAGCTTCGATCAACAAATATCAGTGGCTGGATCAAGAGAATTGCCTAACAGGTGGAATCTCATCGAGGAGTTAACGAACACGGGACGAAGAATGGAATATTTTTAATTAAAACGGGTCTTTCGATTTATAAAGTAATTCTCGACGATTAACGTTTGAAACGAAATTGAAATTTGCGACGTCCTTCGTCCAGTCGACTCCGGATGCACAATGAGCAACGGCGTATGATTCGGAATATCGTGCAATTGGCGTGTGTTTATTACTTCTGAATGCCTGTCACAATTCATCAACCTAATTGCGGCATTGTTAAACAACTCACGATCGGTGGTCGTGCATGCGTGGAGTGTAACGCAGCCGGTTGTGGCTGCGTGCCGACCGTTCGGGGAAAGGGAGGCGGGCTTCTAAAATCCTCAAGGCGAAATTTAGTTACGCGACAGGTCGCGCGCACACGCGTCCATAAACCGGGAACGCGCGAAGCATTCGTGAAATGCGATCAGAGGACCACCCGTACGTCGATGTGTGTACCATCCTTCGAACGAGCAACGGACCCGATGTCCGCATTACCACGTTCCCGATCAGACGTCGCGATAAAAATTCCTGGGTGAAAGGTGGTCGAATGTTTTAAAACGGGCAGCGAGTAATCGGTCGAATAAAACGAGGGGCAACCGAAGAAAAAGAGTAGAATTTTGAAGTATCGTTGTTACGTTTAACGCGAACGATAAATTACCGAGGAAAGAAACGGAAAGTCATGGTGCGAATGAAATTAATCTAACACGAGTGACGGCCAACCGTGGAAGATTGAATGCCTGAAAGTACTGAAATTCCCGAGAACACGATCGTTATATAATTAGTCTCACTCGACCACGCAGTGGGTATCGTGCCACCTCCACCACCGTCGCCACCGCCGCCGCTACCATCGCCAACGGGGCATTGTACATTATAGTGGTAGGAAAGTAGTGCAAAGCACGGCAAAGCAATTGATCAATATAGCGCCAACAACCCCTCGTAACCACCCTTCTTCAGCTTCCAGTTCTAGTCGTTCGCTTCACCCGCGCCCTCTCTCCACCCAACTCCCAACGGCGCAGAGAGAACGCACCCCCATAACAAGTTTCTTACTCATCTTTTTCGTTCAATAACTCTCCATCCAAGATGGCCACCGCGGTCGTCCCTCATTGGCTAGGGGAAGGGGTGGTCGCAGAGCTCTGTACGGGGTTTGGGTGACCCCGAGAGGCGAGGTAACCGAGACAGAGAGAGAAACAGAGAGAGAGGGAGAGAGAGCAGGGTTGGAAGCAGTGACGCCATCTATCTTCCGTTGCCTTGGCTCGGCGTAACATAAGGCAAGATAAATTGCGGGATCTCCCGGGTTCTTGAACCTTTCTGGCAAATTGCATAAGAATATCCACCCTCCACCCCACCCGTTCTCTCGCCCCTTCTTGCCCTCCCCTACGCCTCCCCTTCGCCTCCACTGCCCTCGCGGCTCCAATGGAATTGGAATTAACTCGAATAAATCACCTCGGTGGCTCTGTACGGCTACGCAGAGTTGCTCGTCTCTTTGCTCGAAGGAGTTCAAATTTCTTTTACAACGACCTTAGCATCCCTTGCGCCTTTTTTCCTGCTAATTTCTACGAAGAAACGAAAGAATTATTGTACCGAGAGGTAAAACAACGCGGCAACGTTTCTTATCTTTCGTCCTCATCTACCGCGTTCAAAATTCAAGAAATTAAGTCCTAACGGTTATTCGTTCCGTAACGATTAATATTTTTGCAGACAGATTGATACCGTGTTTCTCGCGTATCTTGATTTATCGCGGTTGTTATTAATTTTTCAGAGTAATGGTTTAAAGTTAAACACCACGGCTCGTTGTTTATTTCATGCTATGGAAGGATGCGCCAATTACCCTGGCAAACAGCGGAAAAACAATAACGTAATGCCAAATAATACCGGTTATTTACGGCCCGGTGAAATCTCGCGTATTTCATGAAATTTCCACCAGGCAAATGGGAGGGTATTATGTCACGGCAATTGTAAAGGCGAAGAGTAAGTGGCAGATAAAACGATCGAAACGTTGCCCACTACGAAAGTCGTAAAGCGGTGCCGGCATCTGGCGGCATTCGTGGGAACAAACGAAACAACGCACCGAAGACGAAATATTGGGTGCGCGGGCGCATCATGGTCCATTGATCGAAAGATATTTTGTAACTCCATAAAATCACCGAAAGAACAAACTTTTACTTCGTTTTGCGACAATCAGGAGCGACTAACCGATTTGTCGTCGATCGTTCGAGTTTGAAGATTCGTAAGTCCTTAATCTTTTCCTTCGTCGTGTACGTTCGTCGCGAATGCGTCGATTCGATGAATGATTCTACGTTTTGATTTAGTACGCGGAATAAACGTTAGTTGCATGATTTAAAGTTTTACTTATTTGCACAGCTCGCTTAATAAAGGTATCCGGAAAGAAAAATGAGCACTTTCGTTAACGAATGTGCATGCTAACCACATAACCTATAAATCTACCATGGATACGAATTTTCCATACAATCTTCATAATTGAAAATGGCAGTAGCAGTAAATAAAAAATCACGTTTCCAGGCGATAAATAAAAAAAGAAGAAAGTGCAAATGAGTCTATCGAGACTCACGGGCCGTTAAACGGTTGATACATAGAGCGTTAAGAAATTCAGTAACTCCCAATTAACACAGAATTTACAAGCTCATTTTCTCAGTTAGTTTGGTATCTAAATAACGGCGACGTCCCAATGTTCTTGGCCTTGTGTTAAATGCATGTTAACACGTGTGCGAATTTCGAGATGTGGTCGATTCACGTGTCACAGTTACAGGGCCATAACCCTCTCCTTGTGCACCTCGTACGATATCTCTATTGCACGCTACATCACGATAGTTCCCCTCCAGTCTCGCAGGAAAGCGTGGAAGGGAACTGGTTATCATTGCCGAGTGGTTGGCTTTCCGTATTGCTTTCCGTATATTGTGCCAGGTCAGTAAATCCGAAACCGAGCTTTACGATTTGTTTACTCCACAGTGGGTTATGGGGACCCTGGTTATATAGCCATAGGTATGCGGGGGCCACGTGATCGTACGGCCATAAACGCGTCTGTTATGCGCTCGTAAACCGTGAGAACCCCACTCGACACGCTTGCCGTTCTATCGGCAATCCTCCCACCACCGACAGTCCATCGTAAAACAAGCGTTTTACGATCGCTGCCTATCGCTGATGATACCGCTACCGTGAGGCCAGAAATACTCACGCTACTCTATGCGATCTTTCGCAAAACCAGTTCCTGCTTCTCCTTCCGATACTCAAACATACAATCCACCCTGATTTCTTTGACCCTTAAGAACAAGGTGCGAATTATAAATTGACCGGTAGTGCTACAATGGCTATGGACCTCCAGGAGATGGCCCTATCATTCCTGAACACTAAAATCCTTGGACCACCTAATTTCTAGGACTTAAATCTCCAGATCTTATCCATCATACCACCACGCGTTGTATCACCACGCGTTGTGCTACCATGCATTGTATAACCACGTGTCGTAGCACCATATGTTGTATCATCACGCACTGTATTACTATGCATCGTATTAACACGCGTACTACTACATATTATATCATTATGTGTTGTACTATCACGGATTGTATTACCACCCGTTACACTGTTTCTGTTGTAATGCGACGCACAAGTGGTAGTACATCGTGTTGCATGGCCACGTGTTGCATCACCATGCATTGTATCACCTCGCGTCATATGGTCAAACTCTCACCACACATGGTATGGTCAGTGTTGTGTGGTCTGGTAAAAAATTTGGTCTTGTAATCGCGGTTTAATTCGCCCAAAAGAGATTGTGCAATTATAATTGTTCATTATAAGGCGCCATGTGCAGACCATCGAATGAAACTTACGTCCAATAATGAGTTTGTTTAAGTACCGCTTTGGACAATTTGGTTTCCAAGATCAATAGCGATATAACGGCTAAAGAAGAAGCACCCGCAAATGTATATGGCGGGCGTAACGAAAGGCTCATTGACCCTGCCATATATCAAGGGCAACGAATTGCGTTCGGGTGGTTTCGCGATCCGCGTAACCCGAGCACGATATCGGGTAACAGATCGGCGTAACAGTTTCACGGCGCGATGGTGGCGCCGCTGGTGGTCGGCGTTCGATCGACGGCTGACCGTATCGGCTGTGATGACGTTGCGCTCGCTACGTCACCGCGCGACGGAACGTAGCCTTGACGTCATTCGGGTCCATAGAGAGAAGGACTCGTGGTTGTGACGTAATCGAGGCTAGAAGAGAGAGAAACTCGTGCCAGCCATGCTGGCGTAGGTAGGGGAAGGAAGAAAAGGGAGCCATTATAGAAGGGGCGCGACTAGGCTGAATCCTCCCCACCGACCGGTCGGCCCACCGAGGAAACAGCTGTCAGCTGCGTGGAGTTGCGGACCCTGTCGTCTCACCCACCAACCCTCCTTTCCCCGTTACTCCGTGTGTGTGTACGTGTGACGTGTGTGTGCGTGCGTGCGCGCACGTGAGCTGGCCTCCGTGTAACAACGTAGCCCCGTGTTTCAACCTGAACCCGCACGCTCGCACACAACGAAAGGCTACCAGCCA